AAGAATGAAAAATACGTTATTATAATAAATGGTAAATAAGTTTATGTGTATTATTATTATTATTATTTGTGATTTATTCCAAAATTAAATTCATTTACAATAAACCTAATTAATTATGTTCAAAAATTTAACAACTTGTTAAGGTAAGGTAAGGACTTGTTTTCAATAAAAAAAAAATTTCAGCATAAGCAAGTCAAATTTGAGGCTGATTTAGACGTTTTTTGTATATACTAAATTAGTATATACAAATACATTTCTGGCTAAGAAGTATAGCCAATAAACCGAATTTAATTTAATTGCTCAGAAAGAAATTCTCAAATATAAATACTGCAGATGTTCCTAGTAAGATAAAAAGTTTGAGTATAGTACTTAATTTAAATAATTTTAAATGTATTTATTCACTTTTTTATTAAAGAAAATTTCAGTTATTAATTCAGAAAAAATAAAAACAAATTGTAAAAATATTGTAGAACTAAATCTTTATTTATGTATCATAAATTATCTCTGAAAGCAAAATAATAATAATAATTCAAATATAAATTTATTAAGTATACGACCTGAGTTTATCAAAACACTTTAACTATAAATTTGCACTAAAATTTATACTTTAAATTTACTACGGATGTATATTGAAATATACTATATATACTATATCTGAAATCCCTCTCAAATCCGCTACAAATTTCCATGTAAAATGCTATTTACAAAGCTCTAAAATTTGCCGTAAAAAGTCTCAAATAAATTGCTCTAAATATTTATTTAATTCATGTTGTTTAGTGTTAAAAAATCGTGTGCAGACGTCTGGACTTAGGCGTTAAACATTTGTATATATGTAAATATATAGAGATATCGGACGATTATTTCCGCCGCCGCCAATGAGCGAAGCATTTAAAGAAAATGTAAATGAGAATATATTTTTTTTCCATTTTCTTATTTTCTTTTTCTGTTTCCCTTGTTTTTCACGCCAAGTTTTTGCATTAATTATATTAAATATTTGTGCAGTGTTTGCTAATTAAATATAATAATTAAGAAATGTGAAGCAATTGTCAAACAATATGATTAAAAAAGAAACAATTAAAAATTTTGTCGCACCTTTCTGCTGAGCTGCTTGCAATATCAGCAAAATAATTGTATTTTTATTTATTATTTGTTGTAGTTGTTGTTGTTTTTTGGTTGTTGAAGCGTCTTTGCGCCGGTTTTGTTTTTTTCGTATTTTTTTTTTTTTTTATTTGCTGTTGTTGTTGTTGTTGCTTGTTGATGGCTCAGCTTGTTGTTTATTTCTTGTTGATTGTACGCTTTGTTTAAGCCAATTTAAGCTTTTAATCAGCGCTTTTTGCTCGCACTACTACACAGAAGCAGGGCGCGACATACACGTACATACACACACACACAGACGTACGCACGCACGCTCCCACACAGACACACACACGCACGCACGCATAGACAGCAAGACGCGGCGCGGAGTTGTGCCTATTTATTTGTTTAACTCCAATTTGTTGCTATTGGTTTTATTATTCGATTGCCACGCGTGCCAAAATATGAAATTTTTATATTCTCTATATATTTTTTTACAAAATATATCTGGGTATATATGTATGTATACAATACAATTTGTATTATCACACGCACACGCCGCGCTTTGACGTCGATACTTTGATACGTATTGTAACTGTAATAGCCCGGAACGCAGCGGCGCAGCAGCAACGTTTGCCGTGGCGTGTGAACAGAACAGCGTCGTCTGCGATACTTGTGCGAAAAATTTTTTGCTACAAAAGATGCCGCCAATATAAGTACGTTGACGTTTGCGCTCAAACAGCGTCGCACTCAACGTGTGTGTTATCGGCTGTGAGTGAGGCGCATTGAGTGAGCGCGAGCGCTGTGTATGACCGTGGGTGGGGTGGGCTGGAGTGGGTGGCATTGGCAGGCAGCCACGAGCGCTCTCGTGCATACGTCATAGTTCGGCTTTTGGCATGCAGCAGCGAACATGTTGCGGCTCGATCGGAGTTGCGCTCAAACCAATCGGTTGCGACTCGCAACATGTTCGAGTTGGAAGCTCGCGCAAACTGTTGCCGTTTTTCGAGTGTTTGCAAATGAGCGCGAATGTGTGCGTGTGTGTGTGCGTGTTTGTGTGCATGTTTTGGTTTGAAGCGGCGCGGCGTTTATTTGCCTTGGTTTCAGTTTTCGTGCATAGCATGCGAAATTGCTTGAGTAGGTTGGTAGGTCACTGCCTCGACTCACTGCATTAGTGTGGGTGTGCGTGTGTGTGTGTCGCACTCCTTTTACGCTCTATGCGTGCGAGTGAATATGCGTGTGTGTGTGTGTATGTTTATTCAACTTGTCTATGTGTGCGCGACTGAGCTTAAGTTCATTAACGGCGCTTGCTTCGCGCAACAGTTCACGGCATGCGCTGCCTTCTATACACAAGCACACATACACACATGCCTATACATATATGTACATTTACATGACCGTTAGTTAGTTGTAAGAGATACTCACAGCACAATTTGGGTGCCGATTGCCCTCGCGTCTATTTGCCTCTAGCTGATTCAATAAATGGCACCGCATTTTCACAGTGGCCCTGCGTCGCTGCCGCTGTCGCAGTCGCTGTCGTCGTCTTTAGCTTATTCTTCTTCTGCTTCTGCTTCTTCTTCTAATGCCTGTTGTTGGTTTTCCCTTTTATTCTATTTTATTTTTTCTGTTTTGGGTGCGGTCCCCCATACAAATCTGCGGCCATAGAGCTGATGGATATTATTTGCACGTGCTTGTATGTGTTTGTTTGCCCTTATGCATACATTTGTGTATGTGTGTGTGCGTGCGTTTCTCTGTTTGTGTGGATTCCATTTGATGAGAAATCATATAAATAAAACGAGCTTTAGCTGAGCGAAATAATAAAGCGAAAAGGGTTTATTTTGATGGTTTCGCATAGATTCGCTAAGTAAATGTAATTACATTTAAGCTTTTTCTCTCACTTTGAACTTTTCCACGCAATCAAATCACAGTTAGAATTGCGGTTTTTATGTGCATTTTCTGCATTTGATGTTGGCAGCTTTTCCAAAAATGCTTTTGTATTTAAGTTTAATAATACAAATAGAAATTAGTTGAAAAATTGATTGACTTCGTATATTAATTATAAATTAATTTAGGTTTAAAATTAAAAATTTAATTTGAATTTATAAATTATTGTATATATAATATGAGAAATATAAATGTATTTTGGTTTGA